CCCCCCTAGGGAAGGAAGGACTGAAGAATTTATCTGCCCAGCTGCTAAGATAGTTGCTGAGAGCACAACTCAGTTCCTGGCCCGCTTTAGAATTTGCTTGTCTGAAAAATGATGCCTTGCTCTTCCCTAGGGATGTCTGCAGTTGATGTCTGAACAACACAGAAATATATGCCTGTCACACTCTTCAAAAGGGACCTGGCAGTCCCTTACAGGTAGAGTGAACCTGTGGCTGTAGATTCCAAGCCGGCCAAGGGTATCTTCTCTCTGCTCAGTCCTGCTCCCTTCCCTTCTTGTCCCTAGGTGCGGATCTAAGCACACCCCCAATACAATTGTTCATTTATCTACAACGAAGTATCTGTTTCCTAGGGAGCCTGATTTTCGAAACTATATTCTCTTTCAAGAGGTTACTGCTTCCTCCGTAATTTTTTTTCCAGTGCTTTCTAGAACATTGTAAAAATTATCAATCCCATTAAAATTTATAGCATCTGTACACATATTATTGAGCCAATTACTCACTTACTGTAATTACTTATCTATCAACCGTGCATTGCACTATAGTATAGTTTGCATGCTATTAAGACTTTTAATTATGGACATCAGATGAGTTCTCGGAGGTTTTGGATCCCAAACTTCTATGCTAATTAGAAGGGTTATGTGAATTCACAGAAGTAAAGTAACCAAACATGGCCACTCTTAACAAATATCTTACATTTAAAAAGCACCACAAACATAGTAAATGTTCACTAACTAGCAATTCTTATTATTACTTCTATTTTAATTACTGTGCTACTACAGCACACCTTAAAAATTCTAGTAAGTATAACTTTCATTAAACTAAAAGCACAATTCCTAAAACATGAGGTAAGATGATACCATTTCTGGAGATAATTCAAGTTCAAAGAGGTGAAATAACTTGTCTAAAATTAACTAATGATGTCATCTAGTTTCAAATCTTATGCTTTTTCCATTAATATCTCAATGTTTTCATCTTGTATAACCATTCGACTTTTCTTATGTATGACGAGTTTCCTCGTTGGAATTAATTATACAACATTTTGTACATTCAGTATACAGAAAGAACTGCATTCAATGATGGAGACATATAAACTTAGCATAATCACTAACAGACTAATTGTTTAAGTCCCTAAGTCTCTCTGGGGGGAAACATCACATATAATTTTGTATTGTCTTATCTTACAAAGTTAAAAATTGTTTAATTAATTGTTTCAATGATCCCACAGTGAATCAAGGTCACTAATTTTAGGATGACCTGTTTTTACAAATTCCCATACTTCTGTGCCATTTTTGTTTCTCTGTAGAAGGCATAGAAGGGCAATTAAATATTTTAATGGGAAAGGTCCTAGTGAAGAGTAAGAGAATGCTTCACCTGCCCTAATTCTAGCAATACCATATCCATTCTGAGGTTCCAGATTGACTGACATCTTTTTTGTGAGAACCATCTCCCCTTTTTTCATAGATCGGGTGAATTATTCTTTCTTTAGGGTTTCCATGTTCTATTCCTACTATAGTAGGCATGGCATTGTAGTCAAGTGGCCCATTGCTAGTGTGTGACTAAATGTATATATGCCACCTTTTCAGGCTCTGTACAAAGAAATAACTACACCACACTTTACTTTCCCATCTTTACATAATACTTGGTCAGTTGGCTAAATATTAAAAGATGTGTATTTTAAATAGTGAGTACTTAAGAATATCTCTGTAATTATGAAGATGATATTGATCAGGAGTCTTCAAAGGCAAGAGAGTATGAAGAACATAATGCAATAAATTAAGTGCATGTGCTTTCCCTCTCACATATATCATTATCTTTACTGCAAATAATTTGATCTATGTGACTTTACCCTTAATTAGTTACTAGCACTCTTAACACAAACAAAACAATATATTTTAACTTGCTTGTACAGGTCATATGTTCTTAATAGAGAAATGCAATAATTATCCAAGTAAGTATCTTACATACTACTTCTCCATATATTTTTCATTTTAAATGAAAAAAGAAAGTATAAAGACAATTTTTGACTAGGTAATAGTCTGGCTTTTTACAGGCCAAACAAAATGAATTTCTCCTTCTTTCAATGTAAAAATACAAAACTGCCCCCAGTGTTCCCTCCCCCCAACATAGTGACAGAGAAGGATTTTAGTGTGATTTCCCTTGACAGGAGTCACATAAAAAGGGAACTAATGAATATTCTTTGTGCTACTCACTACAATAACATTTTTATGTCAACAAAGAATTTTTCAAGTTTTCTTCAATATTGTTTCAATTAATAAGGTAGTATAAAAAGGTAAATATTATTTTATCCCTATTTTACTCATACATAAATGCAGTGATTTATCTAAAAGCATGTACCCCACAAATGGCAAAGCAGGAGCTGCAGCACAGATCCTTGAAGACCAATAGTTCCTTGCTACCCCAGCAACGGACAAGGGCTCTTAGATGGCTTTCGTGTACATAGCATGGCATGGATCCTGAGCTCTAAACTGCAAACATAACAGAAAAAAGAAACTACAACGTGCACACACTGTCTTTCAAATACTGCGTGATTATTTTCTGTCCTAACTCTCCATTCTTGCCCAGATACACTAAGATTCCCTTAATAAGCCTTTTAATAGTAAGCATCAGTTGAATTGCTGATGAGAGGAATAACTGATCAGAAATCCAGATTTAATTCATTGTTGAAGTCACCTCAGCATAAACTAGGTGAGAGGCAATGCTATTCTGCTAATGGAGAAAGAATTTCAAATATTATTGTAGATTTATATGGATAGTCATGAGCATGGACCCACTTCATATCACTACCACTTAAAAGAGCACACTTTTTGGTGATGGTGGAGCGGACAGTGAGTACTCAAATCCAAGAGAACAAACTGACAGTCTAAATTTTCTCTGTTAAATATCAATTAAAACTTTAAAAACTTTAAAAATAGTTTGCTGTCTGATTTAACTGCATTTCACTTTGAAAGTAGAAAAAGCTAACAATGTAAGTTCATGCGGTTTTATCATTTGAGATTTAGGAGAGAGTAGGCAATTGTCAATACTTTAATATAAAGCCTCAACCTAGACTGCTTTTTAATTTTCTATATTTATTATTTTAAATTTATAATTATTTTACTGAGATATAATTAACAAATTATAAACTACATCATTGGTTTAAGTACATCACTCAATTTATTAGTTGTATAGACATCAAAATCTAACTTTGCACATTTAAATTACCTTAACTAAAAAACAAATGCACATACAAAAAAAGCAAACCTAGTTTGCTCTTAACCAGCGGAGAATCATTGCCCAAGGCCATTTTACCTAACTGTTATGAGATATTTGATTCATGATTAATGGAAAATCTATGATCTATTTAGCCCAGGTAGTATTAACATGGAAAAGAAAACAACATATATTTGAAGCGTTACAAAATATATCCACCAAGCATCCTATTTGGAAAGCTCTATTTATATAACTTTATCATTGCAGTATTTTTAGGTATTTTATTTATTCAACATAAATAAAAGTATGCTTTATTATATTTGATATAAATAATTCAAACATAGTTCCGGTATCAGAATCATGTTTGGAAATGTTTTAAACTCACTGTAAAGTTATGATGATAAAGTTTAATGTAAAGTAATATAGTTACAAATATCAAATGACAAAAGCATTTGAAAAGAATCCTTAATAGATAAAGGTAAATAAAATGAATCAAACCAAGTAGTAGTAAAACCAGCTATTTTTTTTTTTAATTTCCTTAAGGTTCAGCTTTTCTATGCTTTTTTTAACTCCAGACTTCTATTTCCAGAGATCTGATTTGCAATTGTCTTAAATAAACATTAAAATGAAACTGCATAACAGCCCACTAATTTGATGAAAATGGAAGTAAGAGACCATATGTACAGTTATTATTCGGTGGTATAATTAAAAAATGTAACATTTTGCTAAAATTGTCATAGAAGTATAGAATAGATCAGTCCATGTCCAGGAATTTAGGGTAATACTGGTTAGTTTTTGACATCTAGCCAAAGATCAAAAACACCTTGTTACAAGTCTATTATGATGCTCAAACAACTCACACTCCAGTGCAGGTCCCAGTTTATTAATGTTGATGACATAGCAAGTGGCCCCTTCTACTGCACAGCATCTTCCTTCAGTAGCAAGAATTTTTCAAAAGCTTGAGGAAGTGGCCCAATTTCTGAAACATCCCTCAGTAATAAGATTTCTCTGAAGGTTTAGAAAGCCTCCATTTTTTGAAACTTGCTTTCCAATTTGTATTTTCCAAAACATACTTACCACAGCAAAGATGTGACCGAGAAAGGCATCTCAAACGCCAGTTAAGAAAATTTCGATTAAGCTACAAGTCCACGGTCATCATGGGTATTATTATTTATTATTTTTTTTTCTTTTGAGAAACTCATGAGACCGCCCAAGTACTTATTCTGAGATTATGTATATTGATGTTATCACAAATCTACTTACGAAGTTAAAATTTTGCCATGTGAATTTTAAAACAGACTTATTAATAATACAAACATCAAATTCTATGTGATAAAAAAAGTGGTTGACACTATTTGAGACAGTGCAGTCCACTCTTTTATTATTCCTATGTAGGATATGGATTATGATCATGAGTACACACCACACCAACATGGAAGCATGCAAGAAATATCTTACATCTCATTATGGCCAAAAATTTCACACTCTTCCTCTGTATCTTTCCACCTAGTGGTATATCTTAGACTACTCTAAATTGGTTTACAGTCTATTCCCCATTTATTTCTCCTGCCAACTCTCTGGAGAAGATATTAATGAGCTCAGTAATGGTTTAACAGGCAACAGGAGAAATAACAAAGAAAAGTTAAAGGTGTGAATGATCAACAAACTGGAATAATCAAGTTCTGTGTAGGCCAGTTAACTAAATATTCAAGCCAGAAACCTCACTTAGGCAGTCACATTATTCACTTAGTTAAGACAAACATAAAAAACATACCTGCTTGGCCAGTGGTGATACTGACAGCTGCAAAGAGCCTCTGGGACCGGCTTAAATCGGAAACTCCATTTACAGCTTCGACCTCAAAAGTATAATTTGCGTGAGCCAGTAGGTCCATGACAGTGACATAGTTATCCTCTAATCCAGTCTGCTGGGGCATGTATCCAATGTTACTCCCACAAGGAACACATTCTCCCTGCTCCCAACTGCACCGCTTACACAATATTCTGTAGGTCACATCATTTCTTCCCCCGTTGTCTGCAGGAGGACTCCATTCCAAACTTACTGTGGTCTGGTTGATGTTGAAAATGAGGTTTTGTGGTGCAGATGGAGGTCCTTTGGAAGCCAAAAATGAATAAACAAATAAACAAAAATAGAAAAATTAACAAAAAGTTAAAGGAAGGAAAGGGGTATTAAGTTAGTGGTTAAATTACCATATAGAGAACTAATTAAAATACTTTCTTTCACATAAACATTGCATAAACCTTTACTAGAGAAGCTGTATAAAAGCCTCCTTGAATTCACTGGGCAAGAAGTTTTATTTATTTTCCATTTAATATGTCAAAATGAAAACAGGATAACAACTGTCTGTACTTTCTGCCATGGTTTTTAGCTATTTTTCTTCCAAGCAGTTAAAAAAGAACAGTTAATGCACCTAAAAAAACAGTTTTGGTGATGTTTAAAATAATGCTTTCCTTTCAACCATGTCACAGATAATGCATCTATTCATTCTTTATGTGCTCAAGAATGATTTACACTAATGTCTAGGATTGGTTTCAGAACTGGTATTTCAAGCATTCATTAATTGAAGCATCAAATTATGAGATTTGTTCTGTTTAGTGATGGCATTCTCATTTGGAAACCATTACATTTAAATCACATTTTCTACCACATAGGACTAATAAATTTTATATTTTATTTTATGATTCCTATTAGACACATGAGAAAAATAAGGAAGAGCATCATGACTGCAGGCACAAAAGTTACAGTGAAGATGATAAATAACTTCTCGTCAATAGACTTAAGAGCTTGTCTAAACATTTAAAATATTTAATAGTAATTAATTACATAATCCCAAATTCAATAGCTATCTCAATAATGTCACAACAGGACAAATGAGTGGACGGCTCTAAAAGTCCTTCACTTTATTATGGGGAACTTACTTGTGCAGGCAACATATGGTGGGTCAGCTGGAGCTCGGTAATACCCATCTTCACATTCACATCTCGAGGAGCCTTCTTTATCAGAAAAACTGTGAGTTGGACAACGAGAGCACTGAAGATCTTGAGACGAAGATTTGTAGAATCCACGGCCACAGGCTAGGTATACAAAAGAAAATGAAAATAGGAGCATTAGAACTAGTAGAACTTTTAAATTTTAGTAGTATCTAACAAAAACAAACAAAAAAAATGAAATTTGATTTGGCCATTTCTATGTAATTATTTCTACATTTTGGGCCTGGATAGTTAATTTTTCACACAACAATATAAAACATGGGAATCCAAACAGAGACAAGGGAATCCAAATGTAAATTCATTAGGTAGATAAATGCTTTACTAGTCAAAAAAGTCCAGCAGTTTCGGACAAAATTTTGTTTCATTCTGTAACAGCCCAGTTTTTAATAGTATACTTTAAAATAAAAATAATGAAAACTACATGATATGGCTAGCTTCACCTGATAGTCAAACTAAACATAAGTTAATTCCTTTAAACAAAAACATAGGAAATTTAACTCAAGATAAATCTAATTGTAATACAAATAATTTTCTTGTTAATCTACATTATTATACATCAAAGTCATTCTCTCTTAATCTAATATAGTTGTTAGCTAACTTTTACTTAATTTGATTCATGTTGAAAATATTAAAATAATTTATGAGATTAGTAACAATGATAATGTAAAAAATATCTGTTGAAAATGATGGAAAGTTAACCCCTCCAAGTTTTGTGGCAAGTTTGTAACAATTTCACATCATTCATGTTATAAGGCAGCTATTTTCCAATAAATGAACTGCCTTGTTACTAAAAATAAGGAATTCTGTGAATAGGAGAAACTTATTCCAACAGAATTAAGGTGAAAGTCATTAGTTACAAAGACAATGACTGCTTCTCCTCTGCTGAGACAGGTGAAGGGTTCAGGGATGCTAACACAGCAAATGTTCTCAGCAATAATCAGCCCCAGAGAACGTCTGCAGCACCTCTTAGTGAAGTTGTATTTATTTTCTCAGACCTTATTTGTTATTAAATCAGGTTATCTCAGACCATTTAGTATCACTGGATATTTTGTACACTTTAATTATAATTTAAAACATTATAATTATTTCAATATTTGTAAATTAATTGTAGCATAGACTGAGTTTGTTAAATAAATTTAATTTACCCTTCATATTTATTAAATGGATATCTACTTTTTAGTGGCTTTAAAATTTAATAGAAATCAATAAACTATATATATATATATATATATATATATATATATAAAGAGCTAGTGAATATTTACCATAAAAGAGACCAATCCAACTTATAGAGAATGCATATTTCCCAGAAAAAAAATGACCAATTTCCAGGAAATAAAATATTTGCATACTGAATATTTAGTCCACAATGCTGATATAATTAAGAGCCCATATTTGTCTTTTGAATTTCAAGTAAATAGGAATGTCTCATATGAATAAAATAGGCATTTAAATAACAGAAAATTAAAGACATTATTATAGAAAGATTAGTGATAACAATATTCAAACAGAATTACAACCATCACTTTTTAAATACATGATCACTCCCGCCTTCATAAGCTAGTCTTTCCATAGCTTACTTCTTCAATTCATGTAAGAGGAAAGAACTCACAAACATTATCGAGAAAGATACATGCATCTTCATGTAATCTCACTAACAACTACTCCAAATTTAAAGCACAGCAGAACAATAAGATTGATTACAAAATAATAAAACAATAGTAACCACTTTAAAATCTTTCTAAATCTTTCTAAAGATATGATCTTGCACATAAAAGAATGGTTAACTGACGAATAAAGAATCTAGCACAGGTTTCTCAGGATGAAAATTCCTTTAAGTATTCACTGTATCTTGCTCTTTGTATTGTCTGTAATTCAATGATCAGATAAATATCCATAAAATAGAGACAACAAAATTTACTCACAACCAGCAGCCAGATTTTAAGGAACAGGGAGGAGGCAAGAGAAAGGGAGGGAAAGAGAAGGGAAGGAAGAGAGGTGTATTGGCACACTTTGATAATATTATGTGGTATTTATCATCCTGTACAAGGGGAAGACATTAGGGAGGTGGAAAATAGGAAGCACAAGAGCAACAGAATTTAGCATCTAATAGGTAGGACTTTCAGAATTAGTAGGTGATTAGTACCAAGTAGAATCCCTCAGAATTCTCATTCTCACACTGCCAATAAAAAAGTACATGAAACTTCTGCTCACTAGACAGCAACAATATTATCAACTAAACTATATTACAACACAACTAAAGGATTATACCCGTTTTTCTCATAAATTAGGAGGGACATTTATTGTTCAACCTGCATGATTTGTAGAAAATAGAGAGAAAATGAAAACCCTTATCACTCAACTTTCAAATTACATTAAATTCTGTTACCACTTTAACAGATGGGAAAACAGATTTGAAGCAAAAGTAACCTGAGTTCTTCAAATAATTCTGTTTCTTTAGGTTCAAACTGGATTTAGAACACAGGACTACTGATACTCTACCATATGTTCCCCACCAGCCTTGTCTGCTGAATGAGCCTAAGTTTGGCACTTATTCAATGGGTCTCAAGGGTGTTAGCAACCCTAAAAGTCTTCTGTGGGTACTTATTGTCTACCATTATGCTCTTTTACTAATTTAAAGCCATTACTTTAATTTTTAAAACTATGAAATAACATCCTAGCACATCTTACAGAAGAGATACTAAATTGGTATTCTCAATTTCACTATGAATTTTGGCATTGAAGAGATGTCTGCAAAATTATGGACTGCATGTATGGCTATCATTAAATAGATGATAATAGAGGTAATGCCAGAAAAATACGGTCATAAAAGTATCTTAACATTTTTTCTTTGAAGTAATGTTCTGTCTCAGTTCAGTTAATACTGAAAATAATAAGTTGTAACAAGACCATTTTCACTTAACCTCTAAGGAGACTATTAATTTAAGAGTTATTAAAAATAAGTATAAAATCTTCAGAGCTGTGGAGTTAAGAGTAAAGCTAAGAATATGCAAAAACATACGCTGTAACTTTTAGGATAATAGTGAGCAATTGGGTGGCAAAAAGTTTGGGAAGGAAGTTAACAGATGCTCTTAAAATTAAAATTTCAGATGAGAAACTCCATGAAATAGCTGGAGTAAAATTCTCAGTGAGATAAAGTGGGCTGAAGTGGTTTAACAAGTTGACTACATAAGGAAGAATGTATGCTCTCCTGCCACTCCCAAAAAGTCCATGTGGTCATTGAGGCAAAAAATGCAGTTGGTTTCTAGAAAAGTACCAGTAAAAATGACTTGAGGTAAATGCCTTCAGAGAAATTCAAAGATAAATTCTCTTTACCCATAATTATGACATATACAAAAAAGAAAAAGAAAAACTTTCTAGGAATTGTGCAAAAACAGTTTTAAGACTTCTTTTCCTGTGCTTTATTTCTCAATTTGTTCAATAGTATTTGAACTCAAAGCAAACTGTAATTAACATAGTGCATGTACTACGGTTAAGAAAAGATACCATTTTAATTTCCTGCCTTTGATTATTTTTTCTTTTTTACTAAACATCGTATTTTAAGTGATATTTTACTATCATGAGTAAGATCAGGAAGATGTTTGAAATTTGTTTTAAATAATCTTTACCTATTGTTTCAGTAGTCGTATTCTTGTTATGGCAGAGGCCTTGGGATTGATTCATTTGACCTTTTTTTAACCCTTATGGCCTTTATGAATTAAAATAACAGAAGCTCATTATCCTGAATCAAAGAATCATAATCTTGTCAGACTCTATACACTAAGTAAGATTTATCTTAGTCATTTATTTAAATGAAAACCACCAAAGAAAAAAGGAAGCACATGAAACTTTCATTTACTAGTCAGTGATAACATCAGTGTAATATATCTAACTAAATTATATTGCAATATATGCTGATATTTGCTATATTGTCACCTACAGTGAAATAAATATGTTATTATATCTAATCCCAAATGTTGTTAAAGAAATTACTATCCCTCTGTAACTAAATCAATTCAAATAACATTTAGGATTTAAGTTTTTTTAAAAACAACACCAAAAGCAATAGCGGTCCCCACTAATGAATGAGTTACTTGAGTATGAGGACTGCAAAAAAATTTGAACACTAAGATATTCAAATATCTGAGCTGAGAGTGAGCTTTGTATTGTTTCATGATTAAAGTCTCCACACAATTGAATATTGTCTTCAGTGGGTGTTAAGTGCTTAAGCAACAAGCAATGGGAATGCCAGGAATGCATGAGGGAGTCTGTGAAGCAGTCAGGATACTGGTGTAGCAATTGTATTCTCAACAAGTAATCACAAAGCGCGTGCTGAAAACCACAACCAAATTTAAATTCCCCTTCAGACCAAACAGTTAGGGGAAATAAACTATCTCTTCCTTGTGAATGAGGATGCACATATCAGACTTGTTTTAGTTCTTTAATTTTATGAAGCTTTTCACCCTTAAAAGGGTAAGTTTAGTGAAAATACAATCTGGTGGTATCTCTAGGGACTGTTCCTAAAAACTGGTTATCTCCCAAAATGCACATACTTATACATTTCCCCTAAAGCCAGGAAAGATGTCCATGTCATTAAATGGCTCTGTTTTTGAAAATTCAAAGCTCTAACTTAAATCTCAAACATAACTGACACCATCTTGGATATTAAATACTGACAATCCACTTCTTAGTTAGCTGTGCTCCATGATATACATTAAGAATGCTTTGAGGGCCCTCCCTGGTGGTGCAGCCGGTGAAAGCACAACACTAAGAAGCTAAAGCCACTTCAGCATCATCAGTTTGATCCCAGGCCCTGGAGATGACCACATGGTGTGGCAGACCTCTCCTGACCCGCCTGCTGCACCACTCAGCAATGTACTTCATCAATTTCTGCCTGTTCTGCTCCCGACTCTGTCTCCAGTGAATCCTCTCACCACCCCTGCACCTCTGACCTGTACCCCAATTCTGTACGCATAAATAAATAAAATCTTAAAAAATATAAAAATAAATGCTTTGAGAGACACTAAAGTTTTGGCTCCATCACAATAATTGATATATTATTAGAGACTGATATTTCTATATTT